TCACTCCTGAACTACTACAGTAGCTTTTGAATTATTGTCCCTACCTCTATGAAGATAATTCCCGATCTATCAATGGAACCATAACCTCTCTCCTAACCTCTAGTTCCACACCACCAACTGTTTTTTAAACATCTAAAACTGGATTTCCACAGACACCACAAACTCAACATGTCCAAAGCAGAACTCATTATCTTTTTACTCAAACCCTTTTCTCTTCCCATCTTTCCCATTACTGGCAAGGGATTATCATTCTCCTGGTTATTCAGGCTGAGAATCTTGGTGTCAACTTTACTCTTTACTCCCGCTCACCCCACATATCCAACCTGTTATCAGATTTTTATCATTTTTACCTTTACAACATCTCTTGTATAGATCTATGTACCTTCTCTCCTCTCACACAGCCATACCCTTGTACTGGTTCTAGGTGGCATCTGGGTGGTACAGTAGAGTGCTGGAGTTAGGAAGAGTTCAAATTTGGCCTCAGATACTGCCTAGCTGTGTGACCTTGGACAAGTCACTTAGCTGCTTTCTGCCTCAGCTTCCTCACTTGTGAAACGGAGATAATAATAGCATCAAGGCTGTTTTGTGGATCAAAATGAAATAAAATTTATAAAGCACTTATCACAGTGCCTGGCATAAAGTAGGCCCTTAATAAATGCATGATTCCTTCCCTCCCTCCTCTTTCCTTTCTTCCTTTTCTCCCTCCTTCCTTCCTTCTTTAATCCTCTTTCTGTGAGAAATGAGTGTTTCTCTCTTGTATTTAATAACTAATTATTGTATTAGGACTGAATTTTTTTCCTTTTTCTACTTCCTCATCCAGAAACCAACCCATATGGGAAATCTTAGGCAGAGATTTACCCAGGCCAAAATCTAAACAGACAGTAAAAGAAATCCTAAGTTTGGGCTAATGGGTGCATTCCTGCTCATTGTGTTTGCTCAGACAGGTCTGAAAAGTGTTGACTTTCCCTTTGATCAGATAGGTGATATAGAAATTGATGTCCTTTTGACCAAGATTTGGGTGATCCGGGCCAGTACCCCAAGACCCTCCTTGTAATATAGCCTCCTTCTTAGAGTAATATCAATTTTCTCATTAATTGTTAACAAATCAGAGTTGATTGCCACCCCTCAGGAACACTTACTCTTCAAAGAGCAAATAAACTATGACCCCACTGCCATTAGGGATCTTTGGCCTAAGAGAGATGGTCAAATGACCATCTTTTTCTTAATAAATGTGCTGGCCTTATTAATAAAATGATTAAATTACCCAGCAATTATGTCTCTTGGAATATTTTTAATTGTCACCTTCCTTCCTTCCTTCCTTCCTTCCTTTCTTTCTTTCTTTTTCTTTCTTTCTTTCTTTCTTTCTTTCTTTCTTTCTTTCTTTCTTTCTTTCTTTCTTTCTTTCTTTCTTTCTTTCTCTCTTTCCTCTCTCCTTCCCTCCCTCCTTCCCTTCCTTCCTTCATTATCTCACTCCTGAACTACTACAGTAGCTTTTGAATTATTGTCCCTACCTCAAGTCTTTCC